ACCCCATCCTGATTTTTCCTTCTCCTTCATGTGCTCCCAGCAGGTCTCAGGGTTGGGGTTTGGGTGCAAGGAGGTGCCCAGCTTGCTTTCATTATAAAAAAAGCCCACTACTTCTTTGCTTCCATATCAAAATATTCACCAAAGCTACACTGCAGTGCTTCCACTGTGTGGTTCAAGGAATAATTGCTGTACGCTGAGATATCCAGCAGCTAGGACTATTGTATTTTTTACAACAGCAAGTCGATAATTTACCATCTCTAAGATGGAAAAGAACAAACAATTTCTGAGCCGGGCCAGTAACTATTTGTACAAGCTTTACTGTGTTTGCCTTAAATATATATCAGCCAAAATCACCAGCACTACAAACATCACCAAGTGGCAGATTAACGTGTAGCCATTAATAGGCATTAATAGTTGCCTAATTCCAATCGGATACACCGGGGACATTAATTGCGTAGCAGGTGTGTTACTCAGGCATTGCTGGTGCAGGGAGGGATTTAAAGTTCAAAGTTGTAATATTTTAGGTGGTTTTTATTTCTTTGAAATAGCAGTAAATTAATTGCACGGTGCTAAATAATACATATATTATTATATATTATTTGATTATGATGATTATTATTGTTAATATTAATATTATCATCTCTAGATAATATTAGGTGCTCAGCAGGATGCTGCTTCCCTTCCCACAGGAAAATGTGAATTTAGATGCCGGCTCTGCACTCCCAGGGCACGTTAGAGCCAGGAGATCTGCTGAGCACCAGAAACACGTGGTAAAGACCCCGTTTCACCGCGACAGCTTCGGGCTGGCCTGTGTGCAAGAGCAGAGCCACCGGTGTGATCCAGGAGGAAGCGGTGACCCTTCCTTGTTGGCTCCATCACAGGTTCATCCCCCTGGTGCCCCAGGAGCTCGGAAATCTCCATCTGGATCCACGGTGAGTGAAGACCCCACACAAGGGTGTCTTCAAGCCCATGTCACAAGAGGAACCCCACTTGCCTCCTCTCACTTGTGTAAAGTCACAATGAAGGGGGGGGGGGTGTGTGTGAAAGGTTAGTGGTAAATATTAATAAATAAAGCAAGAAACAGCTGCAGAAAAAGCTGTTTTTCTTGGCAGAGCAGATTGTTCTCCCTGTATCTGGCAAGGGACGTGGTGCTCGGAAAACAGAAGTGGGGGAAATCAAACTTAATCAATGAGGGAACACATTAACCTGGTGCGTGGGGAAAGCAGCATAGTTGGAGGGTGTTTTGTGTCCTGAGAGTATAGAAGATATTTGTATGTGCATGTAAATGTGTAAATATATGTGTGTGTTTATAAACACAAACATCTCTGACATACCTGCACAATTACGTTACTGACTTCAACACAATATGCCAGAAATGGAAAGTGCAAAGGGTTGATTTTTATAAAATTTAAGAGGGAAAGATCTATTGCCAGGGGTTAAGGATGAAAAATTCTGAACAACAGATTTCCCCTAAGTTTGAATGAATTTCTTGGAAAGTGGTGAGTGACCCTCACCCTGTGTTCCCAGGAGGAACGGCAGCACTGAGCTGAGCTCATCCACACCAGGAGAAAACACGACTCTTCTCATAGCCCTCTTTAAAGGGTTAAGGGGGACATCTGTGCCGTTGCCAAAAGCCCAGAGGCATCTTTTGGTTCATGAACCCTGGCAGCCCATATGCAATGGGCAACACCAGCTCTCAGATGTCCCATCTGGGCTGGAGGAGATCAGAAGGAACATGGAGGCCACTCCATATCCAACCAGGAGGCCTTCAGTGGGGTTCTTGTGATCCCTGGTAACACACGGCTTCCCTGTGAGATGCTTCCGGCCCCCCTACTTGCTGCCTAACATCTCACTCCTCAGAGATGTCTTTTCCATGGCTCAAGGGTGAAAAGTTTCTCCAACTGCTCTCACACTTTCCTCTTTTCTTTTTTGACTCAAGGCGTACCCAGGCCCTCATCACCGGAGGAGAATTAAGGTACAGCATTCATGTTGTACTTCTCTTATCACAGCTGCCTGTGGTGAGGATGCAGCTGGTCTTTCCCCCGTCACAGTGCAACCCAACCCTGTTCTGTACATGCACTTTTTTTTCTTATAGAAGGAGGAAACTGACCCACCAGATCCACCCTCCCATGGCCAAAAGGTCAGTGCTGTTGTTTCACCTTTTAACGCAGGTACCCAAGGGCACCTGGGGGTCACCAGGATAGTGATCCATCTCCCAGAGCAGTCTCATTTGGAACCTGAGGAGCCATGGGTAAAAATTTGCCAGGCTAGTAGGTTCAAGAGGTTGTAATCAACAGCTTTTGGTCATTAGTAACAGAGCAGAGATTCCAGGCTTGAACCTCTCGCAGCAGATCCAAACAAGGTTTTTATGTTTTGGGGATCCTCAATAGTTTTGTCCTCTGTGGACTTCTCCGGTCTCCCTCAAACTCATGGCATCCTTTAACATCTGCAGTGTCCTGGGGCAGGGAGACCCTCAGCTTACCACTCATATCTGGCCCTTACTCTGCAATTTATGTTTTCTTTCTCTGCAATTCTATTGCCCAGGATGGAAGGGACGGGGTCAGAGATGTCCCCAGTCTGGTCTGGGAATGCAAGTGATGGCAATGAGGAGTTCCTCCATAGATGTTTGCTAAATGCTGATGCAGGAACGAGGGCAGGACCCACCTGGTCCAAAGAGGGAAGGAAAAATTCCTCTTGGCAATGTGTGTTTGCAATTGAAGGGGTCACCTGTTGTTTTCCAGGGAGAAATGGGAGCTCCAGGAGTCCGTGGAGACAAAGGAGAAAAGGTAGTGATATCACTTTTCTGGCCTGAGCCTCTGAGAACAGGAGAAGGCTCTCGGTGCTAAGAGGGTATGGAAGGCAAGAGGCATCTGGGGACATGCTGGTGGAGAGGGTCTAAGGAAGACTGTGCCAATGTAAATTGAGATTGCCACAGTCGCACCTTTATCTCTGATGAAGGTTTCTGTTCCCTCCCTTCCAGCAAGGTTAACGTGCATCTGCCATGCACTCAGGAGCAAATGCAAAAATTCGGGGGTTTTTCCTGATGTTCATCTTCTGCTGGATCAGTGAACTGAACCAGGTGACAGACAAGTAAAAGCCAGCCCTGGCATGAGGACAGGGATGGAAGAAGGGCCACACAAAACACCATTTCATGAACCCTTCTGGTAGCAAAGGCTTATAGGGACCAAGTGGCAGATCTGGGATGGTGGGACCAGGTATTCAGGAGAAAGGCAAATGAAGCAACGTTGTTGTTAAAAGGCACAGCCTGATGGGGAAGGGGTACATTGCGTGGGCTACTCTTTATACACCCATGTAGAGTGTAGGGGCAGTATCCTGGGGACACAGACATGAGAAGGGAGGAAGGGAGAGGAGGTGGCTGGAAGGTGGATGGTTTTTGTCTTGCAGGGGCAGCCTGGGGAGATGGGGGAGCCTGGAGAAAAGGTGAGCTGTGGAGTCGGTATCGGCAGCTGGAGCAGGACAATGTTACCAGCTAAGTAGCCCAAATCCAGCACGTGAGATTGCCATAGGAAAGTCAAAATCTACTAGGTCCCCCCAGTACTCCATCTCCTTCCTGGGAGCACCATGACTCTGTGTTGGCTCTTCCCTGGTCACGCAACCACTGCCCACCTCCTCTGGGGAAAAGAGGTGGAGGTCAGTGGGGCCAGTTGCTCCACGCTGCCATAGGCTATGAGCACAACTGGAAGCCTTTGCTCTCATTCAGGGTTGCACTGAGATGGTATTTCACATGACCTCTAGCACAGGGTTGGTTACTCTCTCTTTATTTCATAGGGCACCAAAGGAGACAGAGGTGAAAATGGTCAAAAGGTAAAGAGCAACATTGGTGCCACATTTGGGGTGTCTCTTCTTACACTCTGAGAGCTTGCCTCCTGCGTTCCCTCCTCCTTTTGCCATACCTAACCTCCCCATCTCAGGGGAAAATGTCCAGGTAACCTTCTGAGATATGGGCTCAGTGTGGCCAGTCACTTGCTGGGGACCCAGCATCTCTCTGTTGACTAGGGGGGGACTCCAGATGCCTCACATAGACAGGATGGCCACCTTATAAATGAGTAATGTCAGAATATATGAGTCTCAGCCAGAGTCCTCTGACACCATCTCCTGCAACTAAACTCCCTCTCTTCTAAAGCTGTTTAAATGCTCTCAGCAGCTTTGTCTCTCCAGGTCAGATAAGACTTCCCACCATCTAGAGGAGATGTGATGGTCAGTGAGGCCTCTGTAGAAACCCTCCAATGTAGGATCAACACCAAGGGACTTCAGCTGGGTGCCCAAGGAGCAGCATGAAGCAAGCTCTCATTTTGATGGGCCCACACTGGAAGGAGTGATCTTGATTTATCCTGACCTTCTCTTCATAGGGAGAACCAGGAATTGGGTTCAGAGGCCCTGTTGGTCAGGCTGGGCCACCTGGATTTAAGGTAAGCCTTTCTTCTCTTCTAGATAGGACCTCGCTTGTTTTGTCTGGGTCTTGCTTTTTGTAGTCCTTCCTGATCTTTACACCACTGGGTGTGGAGCTACAGAGCGGGCTGGGAGACTGCAAATATAAAGCACCAAAACCAGTCCCAGCCTGGGAAGACAGGGACACCATCACGTGGGTATGGGACAGAGGCAATGCTCTGTGTCCTCCAAAGGGCCATTTCAAAGCAGGTGGGGTCCAGAGGATAAATATGGCTGTGAAAATATCGAGGGAATTGTGGTCTCAGCAGATGGGTTTCTGCAATGCCTTGGGTTGTTGCAGGTCTGCAGGGTCTGAATTCCCTGCAGAGCTCTGAAGGTCTGCTGGTAAGGGCTTCTCACCTAGAAAGCCATGGCACAGCCCTTTCTGCAGCCCTAGGATGTGTCTTACGGACCTGGGCTGGAGGGGGTGGCCCCAATTCTGTGTACTCTTCATGTGAATTCAAGAATACACCCCTGGCTTTCCCCAGGACCTTGGCGGGGGCACAGTTAATCCCTTCTAAGAGCCAAATTCCTTGTGATTCACTCAACAGGGTGAGCCAGGGGCCCCAGGCCCTCCTGGAGCTCAAGGCATCCAGGGCATTCGTGGCAACGCCGGCACCCCTGGGTCACAGGGGGACAGAGGGGCTCCAGGTCTGCCTGGGATGCCAGGACAGAAGGTAGGTGGTGTGCAGTGAGGGGACTGCATGTGTTGTGTTAGCCACCCCAAGCTGAGAACAATGATGGTCCTACATCAGGTGTCCACTGTGGGTCAAACCCCCACCTATGCAGGTCTCCAGACCCTGAGCATATACGTAGTCAGTGAAGAGAAGCAAGAACAAAGCCTGGTTGCAAAAAGAGAGGTGACAGCTTTTACTAGACCAACTGGTGTAGCTGAGGGGAAAACAGGCCAAAAGATTTGGTTCAGGGGAATGTCCTTCAAGTTCAAAAAAAAAAAGCAGTGGAGGTCCAAGCAAGGTTGGGACCTGTTGTTCCTTTAAATTTAGTGATGTGACTTCATGAGATGGCTGGGAAGAAAAGGGGTGGTGATAGCACAGAGGATGTGAACAAGTTTGGGGTTTGGGAGTCTGGGAACAGAGGGAGCAATGTGTAAGTCTCATTGCAGGGACATGGAGGCTTAGCTGGAGGTGGGGTGGTGGACAGCAGTGTGCCTCAACTCAAGAGTCTTGGTGTAGCTGGAGTCCCTTCTCCTCAACGACAAGAGACCCATCTGGGGAGCACCCTAGGCTATTCCTCCTGCATGCAGCCAGTGCAGGGAACACCTCAGGCCACCAGCTCCCACTTTCTGGCTGGGTGGGGGAAAGCAGGACATTTCCATCAGGGTATTCTCCTCCTTAAAGGATTTTATTTTCAAGGGGGAGCGAGGGAAGAGAGGACGGAATGGATTTGCTGGGCCTTCAGGACCATCAGGATCCCCAGGAAAAGAGGTGACATTTGTACATCACCCCAGTGTCTTTTGAGCAGCAGAGGGGTGGCTGGGGAGAGAGATTGAGGGTCTGGTATCTGGGCTGGGTGTGCTTTCACCCTCTTGGAGCACTGGGACAGGAGAGCATCAAGAACATGCTAAGCAAGGTCCTCCCTTCTATTTTGTTTTCTTCACCCTACAGGGGATTTCTGGGACACCTGGACCCAAAGGCAACAAGGTCAGTGCCAACCTGCCAGGCAGGTCACAAGCAGCTGAAATCCTGGAGTGGCAATGGGACAGCCCACTGCCCTCCCCTAGGCTCTTGTTCCTGACCCCATCCAGCTGCTTCATCCCTCTTTCACCCTAATGCCTTTCTTCCCCACGATTGCTGGAGCATCCTCCAGAGAAAACAGCAGAAAGTCAATGGAAATGAGTCTCCTGACTCTTTCTCTGACTTTTAAATCATGGCCAAACACATCAGCAATCATGCGATGTGGTGTCCTTGCTCTGAGTGAGACCTCTGGGGTTCTCTGTTCTGCAGGGAGAAATCGGCGTTGGAGCAGCTGGCCCAAGAGGTCCTCGCGGACTGCCTGGCCCTCGGGTAGGTCCCTCCATAAATATTCTTGTCTTGGTTTCTTGCAGCCTAACCTCTTTTGAAAGCAGCTTTATACCATCACCTCCTATTCACCCATCGTTGAAGATGCCTAAAGGGCTGATTTCAGAGCCCTCCTAATTTTTTCACCAGCCAGATTTGGAGGTGATGGACACTGCTATACCCAGAATCTGTCTACAGGTTTCAATTAGCGTGTCCTCCATAGTTAGACAACCAGGTCATACTGGCCAGCTGCATGGCCAAGTGAATCCTTCCCCACTGACTGTGTTGGCTGCGCACTCAGTGGCTAGATGGGAGTGTTGAAGGCAATACCTACACCCCTACATCTGCATATTTTAATCCTAGCAGCTCAGTAAGGAACGTCCTTGGTTTTGTGTGCTTTGGGGATGCTACCTGCACGCCCGTTCCTTCAGAAATCTGCCTCCAGCTTTTTTATCCTCGTTCCCCTCTTCCCTCCTATTGTCCTGGCAGAGGGAAACCAGCCCCCATCATCCTTGGGGCAGCAATGTTCAATGTTTTTCAACATTTTCCTCACGTTGCTGAGAAGTTTTGGTCTCCTTCTGGCAAAGACCCCAGGGAGACCCTCTTGAGTCGTAATCAGAGGCCATGTTTCAATTTGCTGCTTCTGTGGCTGTTCCACGAATAAACTGATTTTATGCAGCAATCCATTTAGACAAACTCCCCATCTGCCAGCAGAACTGTTCAATGAGGCCCCTGAGACAAAACACTTAATGAGAATGTCAACAGCTGTGAAAGGTCTGGGGTAAACCTCACTCAAGCTTCATTATCTGAAGGAAATGATGAAATAATGTTTCTGCTCTCCTGACTCCAGCATAAATCTAAAGTGAATCACAGAACCTCAAATTACATTGGCTTTATATGAGAGATCTAAATTTGGCCTCACAGGACAATGCTTAAGTCTGGGCATCTGAAAGACAGGCAAGTCTTGTACGATCTACCTAGGGAGGTCATAAAAGGACTTCGTAGACCCACCAGCACAGCTATCCCTTGTAGCAAGGTTTCTAAGGAGACAATAGCACACTTAAAGGGAGGCTCAGAACAAGGTCTTCAGCATCTGGAAACCGCAGCTGGGCTTGAAGATAAGCCTCACATTGGTATCCAAAGGCACAAGTTACTATTGAGCAGATGACTGGTGGCCTCTTCCTTCTGAAAATCAATGATATGAGTTCCAGGTGAATTCCTGGCTGCCTTATATATTGTGAAAAAAAAAGAAAAGCTACTGAGCCCTCTAATCAGGGGGAAGAAATTTCTCTGTCCCAGGAATGGAATATCTCAGACCTCTGTCCCTTGTTGCACACGCCTTTGTCAGATGTAAGTACATCGTGGGGAGGGACACACCAGGTCATCCAGCCTCAGATGACTTCTTCTGAGCTAGTCCTACGAGGGCCTCTCTATACCAACAGAGAGGAAGAGATACCTTTTTGGAGTGATATCTATATCATGCTAAATCAGGTGCAGATCATCTCACAGATGTCTGTTTCTCTCAGGAGCTGAGAAGAAACTGAAGGTTGAAGCTTCAATCTGACTGAAGCATTATTCTCTAAATGTTGCAGTGTCTACCTGCAGTGACATGTGGACTATCTCAAGCCCTTTAGGCTCTTTGATCCAGATCCATAGGAGCATTAAGGCACCTAATCCTGATGGAGGTATAAAAGGTTGGACATCTCCATCAAGGATTTGGGCTTCTGCATGCTGAACGAATCCTGTTGTCCCCAGTGGGATGGTTTGCAGAGTTGGGACTGTGCATGTTGCAATTGTCTTTACCGATGACCATCGCTACCCTTCTTCATCCTAACAGGGTGACGAGGGCATTGTGGGAGTCCGGGGCCCCACTGGAATGATGGTGAGTGTTAAAAGTGAGCGGAGGGCTGTTTTTACAGCACGGACAACAGTGGGCCCAGGGTAGGCAAAATCCCTACAAGCAATGAAAAAAATAAAATAGGTTGATGCTTTCAGTGGGAAATAGAGACTTTGGGAACCTGAATTCCGATGTTGAGTTGACATGAGTGACTGTAAATCCTGTAAGCAGCTGTGAGATGTAAGGTGTCGTGCAGAGCACAGTTGCTTTATGCTCTTGTCCATTTGGCTGACTCATCTACATGCTGCTTTTGAAATCCTCCCAAAATATCATTCCCTCTCTGTTATTGTTTGTCAGGTCTGCTTGCCTGCATCAACTTCAGGGTCTCATTTTGTTGTAAATTCCCTTTTCATTGATAGGGGACTGAGTCAGGAGAGGCGCAGATCCCAGTCAGTATTTCAACCAACACCTTTTTATTTATTAGGCTGTTATATGTAATGGACTTAATCTGTTATTATGAGCAGGATGGGCCTTTATGAAGTTCCTCAGAAGGCCAAGGATGGTTGCAGTACCAGGTTTCCCCCTGGGATCTCATCCCTGAAGGGCTGATTCTCTGGCCTTTTCACCATAAGAGCTTGCAAGTTGATGTGTCCCAGTGGTCAGAGCAGCAATGCAGGGCAAGGGGCATGGCAAAACCCAGGTTTTGAGCCCTTTGGGAAATCATAGAATGCTTTAGGTCAGAAGGGACCTTGAAGATCATACAGTTCCACCCCCCTGCCATGGGCAGGGGCACCTCCCACCAACCCATGTTGCTCCAAGCCCTGTCCAACCTGGCCTTGAACACCTCCAGGGATGAGGCAGCCACAGCTTCTCTGGGCAACCTGCCCCAGGGGCTCACCACCCTCAGAGTGAAGAATTTCTTCCCGATATCCAATCTAAATCTTGCCTCTTCCAGTTTGAAGCCATTCCCCCTCGTCTTATCACTACATGCCCTTGTAAAAAGTCCCTTTCCAGATTTCTTGTACGCCCCCTTCAGATACTGGAAGGCTGCTCTAAGGTCTCCCCGGAGACTTCTCTTCTCCAGGCTGGACAACCCCAACTCTCTCAACCTTTCCACACAGGAGAGGTGTTCCAGCAGGTCCATGTCCTTCTTATGTTGGGGGTCCCAGAGCTGCATGCAGCACTGCAAGTGGGGTCTCATGAGAGCAGAGCAGAGGGGCACAATCCCCTCCCCTGCCCTGCTGGCCATGCTGCTGGGGATGCAGCCCAGGATGCTGGTGGCTTTCTGGGCTGCCAGCGCAAATTGCCTGCTCGTGCTGAGCTTCTCATCATCCAACATCCCCAAGTCCTTCTCCTTAGGGCTGCTCTCCATCTATTCTCCACCCAGCCTGTATTTGTGCATGGGATTGCCCTGACCTACATGCAGAACCTTGCACTTGTGCTCTGTCTCCTCCCATCCATCCTGTCCATGCCCATCCCTGTGATGAGCTGCCAGTTCGGCAGGTGGAAGGTGCCACCTCTCTGTGTAGTCATGGGAGGTCACCAGTCCCCAGTTTTGCAAATGGGTTACACCTGGGGTGACCACCATGGCTTTTCAGCTCTCCAGGTGTGTTTCACATCCTGACTGTCTGCAGGGGCTCCAACCTGCCACGGGGGACATCTGGGGATCCCCATCACCCCCATCTAGGAGGAGCCCTCAGGAGTACCCCTTCCCCTATGCTCTCTGAATGGGGACTGCATCTCATTAATGTTAAGGGTATGAAAAGCACAGTACATGGCTTAAAAAATGGGGGAGGTTGGCTAAATTTATACATCTGCCAAGAATCATAGAATCATAGAATGGTTTAGGTTGGAAAGGCCCTTGAAGATCATCGAGTTCCAACCTCCCTGCCATGGGCAGGGACACCTCCCACCAGACCAGGTTGCCCAAGGCCATGTCCAGCCTGGCCTTGAACACCTCCAGGGATGGGGCCTCAACAACCTCTCTGGGCAACCTGTTCCACTGCCTTACCACCCTTAAAGTGAAAAACTTCTTCCTAATGTTAAATCTAAACCTGCCCTCTTCCAGTTTATAGCCATTCCCCCTCGTCCTATCACTACATGCCCTAGTAAAAAGTCCTTCCCCAGCTCTCCTGTAGGCCCCCTTTAGGGACTGGAAGGCGGCAATAAGATCTCCCCAGAACCTTCTCTTCTCCAGGCTGAACAGCCCCAACTCTCTCAGCCTCTCCTCATAGGAGAGGTGCTCCAGCCCTCGGATCATCCTTGTGGCTCTCCTGTGGACACGCTCCAGCAGGTCCATGTCTTTCTTATGTTGAGAACTCCAGAGCTGGATGCAGTACTCCAGCTGGGGTCTCACCAGAGTAGAGTAGAGGGGCAGAATCACCTTCCTTGACCTGCTGGCCACGCTTCTTTTGATGCAGCCCAGGATACGATTGGCAAGAGATCCTGAGTTGTGCCAGTGGTGGACAGAAGCTTAAGGCTAAATATTGTCTTTGCACCCCTGTGATTCACTTCTCAAACTGCTCTTGGGAGGAAGGAAAGGAGAGTAGAGGTGGTCCCACTAGCAGCTTCTCTGAGGTGGACCCCGTCCTTGGAGGCAGCTCTTCAAGTGTAGGATGCTCTTTTCTAACACCTTCCCCTGATGGTATTTAACTTCACATGTTGTTTTGTGTTCCTGCAGGGTCCAAAAGGCTTCCCAGGTGTGAAAGGCGAAAGAGTAAGCAACAGTCCTCTTATCCACACAGTGTCTGAGGCGGAAGGCATCGTTGTGGGAAGTCTTTCTCTGCAGCAGTCCACATTGCTGAAGCCCCTGTTAAAGCAGTGGGAATAATCCCAGCATCTTCTGGGGGTGGACTGGGAGGGGACCTCGATCCGTGTGTGCAAGTGTGAAGTGGCATTAGCAGCCCTCTCTAATGGCTGGGCTGTGGTGAGGGTGCATGCTGTCTTTATGCATGCCTAGTTCTTTTTGGAAGAAAATTTGGGAGTTTGGACAGAAGGAGACCCCTGGTATGCTCTGGTTGATCCCCAAATGTGCAGGGTTGAGGGAAGAGGGCTAGGGAGCAAATGTCCTACAGCATCGGCAGGACAATGCCTGTCCCACCAGGCAACACATACCCTTTCATTTGTGTCGGTGAGCAGGAGTCCCCTTGGTCTCCTTCTGCTACATCCCACTTGTGACCCTTGGAAAGTGGAGTACTGAGAAGAGCAAATTTTGTCCCAAATGTCAGGTGTGTGCAATGGGACACCGGGGGAGGGATCCCTATACAGCTCTGTCACTCACAAGCAGTTCAAATGCAGTTTCAAAGCCTGTCTCTATTCTCCTGTCCCCTCCTGGTCTTTGCAGCCTCCCCCTTCTCCTGCTGTCACCACACCAGTCTTGAGCACTGGAGGAGGTTATGAGATACCATCAGGAATAAGTCCTGCCCATCAGCCTCATGTCCCATACCCATTATAAAAAACTTCCAAGAGTAACTAATAATATCATACATTCTCAGTAAAGCATGCCAGATTTGAGGTTGAAATTTGGGAAATCCTGTATTATATAGGATGCCTTCCCACCCTAGAAGTGTAGGCTCGTCTCTGCAGCATGGAGATGCTACATCCCGTTGGGAGGTCGAAATCCAGCAATAGCTCCACATCATGGATGTGCTGAGCATGGAGTCAGGCAAACCACTTCAGTCCTCTGGGTCTTTATTTTATTTTATTTTATTTTGTCAATGCAATAAATTCTAGTTGTACGCAATCTCTTGTGGTAAGCTAATCATTTTGCAGACTGACTTCCAGCTGTGATAGATCTTAGTGGCTTGGCATGCAAATCAGTGGACAGAGCAACACGAGAAGAGTGAGTAAAAAAGGGAATCGCTCACTGTCTTTTTTTCTTTCTTTCTTTCTTTCCTGTGTTCAGGGTGATCGGGGACTTCTGGGACCCAAGGGAGAAAGAGTAAGGACATTCCAGATTGTCACTTTCTGGGGCAGATGGGGTAAAAGGCTTTCAGGATTTTATAGTTACCAGTGAGCAGACAGACAGTTATTTAAATGAGTCAGTGATCGGACAAGGTAGAGGCACAAATGGTAAAAAATATTTATGTGTGTTTTCAAATATCTGGGGTCTTAGTGATTTTGTAAGATTAGTATCATTACACGTGGGTGAGCACAGCCCACCCAGCGTGGAGCACCGAGGAAGGATCCCAGACGATGGGGTGCAAATGCCTTTCGTCAAAGAGGACTTTAAATCCTACCTTCGACACATGGTGTTGTGTGCAGTGCCATCCATGTGTCTGGATCAAGATCCCACTGCCAATGACACCTTCAGGATTTGAGGCTCAGGCCCTCCTGTGTGCTCCTGTGTGTCCCTGCTTGGGCATCTGGCCACCCCACAGGGGGAAGAAGTTTTTCCTTCTGTCTAACAGGAGTTTCCCTTGTTGCAACTTGCCCTTTCACTGTGTGCCTCCAAGAAGAGCCTGGATCCATCCCCTCTACATTGTACACCCATGTACGCAGGGGAAGACAACATGTAGACCCTCCTTCTTGAGGGTCTCCACCAGGTTCAATCCACTTTGTCACTGCCATCCTTGCACTGGACACACCGCTCTGGGCTGTGCTTGCATGATAGCTTTGATGGGATTCTACAAAACAACAAAAAAAAAGTCATTTTGGCAACTATTCACCGGGGTACAAAAATGCCTCCTGTGAATTAAGTGAGGAAGAACATTTCCCCTGATTTTGGTATAACCAGTTCACCCCAAAGCATACTGCAATCTTGAAAAGCCTGAGCTGGCTCATAGCAGGTAATGCGAAAATAATTCCCAAAGCGCTCCTGGAAGATACACAGAAAATGCTGAACTTCTGCCCAGTGTTTTGTTAACTTCCTTCCTGGCTGAAATGGCTTGTTAGAAAATGAGTTTTAGAAAACCTACATGATGATTCTGCCTTTGAGTCATGCAGTATTAAATGATTAAGGCCGATTTGTCTCTGAGGAAGCTACTTTCAAAGGGGACTCGCTCCAGAGACAAATCAATTCTTAATCTGCTTTGTGAAGAGGCCTCAAAACACCTTCCAAGCTGAAGGAATGTGTAATGCGTTTTCCAAAGAATACCTTAATTAAATATAAGGCAGAGTGCAAGATAAAACGGGGGGGGATAATTGGCTTGGGTTTGTTCCACATGATTGCGGCTTAACTTTCTTTCGAACTCTTCAACAGTACAGGAGTATCTGCGTGGATCCCAGGGCCTGTGCTATGTATTGGATCGAACTACAGGATCTTTATTTTCCCTTTTGTCCCCAAAATTGATTGGGCCTTATCCTGTCTCCATTAGAGTCCCTCCAGAGCAGGGAAGCAGGAGGATATATTAAGCCAGAATTTGATCAGGGTCCTATGGTGATGGTGATGGTTGAATTAACTGCAAAAAGATTGTGAAAATTTGAGGAATATTGATTGATGCATGGTTGTTAAGACTCCAGCAGCAAGGCACAATCACCCTGAACTGAAGAGAGCTGGTGTAAAGGGAGTCCTTTTTCAAGTGGGCTACAATTGCCAGTAGAAGGTGGCTTCAGCCCTCCTCCCTCTGAACTATGGACAGCATCGCTACTTTGGAGATATAACCATCACTTCACCAGAGCAGAGCCATGTCTTGCATGGGAATAGCCTTGTCGCAGCTTCTGCACTCTCTGAGGAGCAAAATGTCCCTCCTCAGCTGCTGAGCTGATAAGCAGACTTGACACAGATGTGTCTGTGGGGTTACTGCATGCCTGTAGCTACTGTCTCTCCCCTTCCTTAGCTCCAGCTCTGTGTCCATAAATCAGGACACCATGAGTAGACCCATTCACTACCCTGCCTATGGCCAGCTCCCACACCTGGGGAGAGATCAAACCTTGGCATCCTAAGTGACATATGGTGGCGAAGGAGCCAAGCCACCATGTTAGATATGAATCTGTCCCACCACTGATAGCCTTGGATTAGGAGTTGAACATCAGGGTCATGCCGTGCACAGCTCCATTTCCACCTGAGAACTCTAGACTAAGGTAACACCAGTGGGCCCCAACACTTTTGTAGCAAGGAGTTGCACAGCTAAAACTTCTTGTAGTTTTCTGTGCACGTTCATCGTCCAGCTTTTAGCTAAAACTCTTAACAATTAATGTTGTGCTGTGGAGCATATGTGCCTTCCCTGGCATATGGACCACACTTTGGGAAATGCTTATCTTCATTGCAGATGTGTGAATTACTATTTTGCCCATCATAGCAAGTGCGGTTCCATCCAGTGGAACCCATGCGTTCATGTATCACCGGGTGTCTACATCTCTCCATGTCTCCTTTCTCTAGGGTGAGCCCATGACTATTTTTGGACCCCAGGGCTATAAAGGCAGTAAAGGAGATCCCGTAAGTTTGACTCTTATTGACTGTTTAAGCTGTCCCTTTCCAACTGTTGGTGGCATCAGCCCCAAGCACAGCTTGGGATGAGCACTGAGAACCAGCACTTTGGTCCAGGGCCAGTGGCTGAGAGCTGGGTCCTTCCAGGAGAAAGGCACAATCCACTAATTTCTGTCTTACCTTTCAGGGTGAACGGGGCCTGCCAGGTTTTGACGGAGACAAAGGCGAGAAGGGAGAGGATGGGCCTGTAGGAGAAAAGGTATGAACCTCACAATGCAACTGAGGGACACAGCAAAAGGTCACCAGTTGTGGGAGGAAGGGAGTGATATCTCTGCATGGTCCCTTCCCACATGCCTGCTGGAGAACACGGTGCAAGGACATGCTCACGCAGAAAGGGAGAGGAGGATGCTGGGCTGGGGCTTGGGAATGTGATACACATCCAGTTTGCCAGGTGTCACGTCTGTAACTTTGGGACCATGTCTGCAGCACAGGATCACTCCAGGAAAAGTGACCATTCAGTTGCTGCAGCACTGTAAGCGTCCCGCATCTCCGTCTCCCTCCAAGAGCTGGCCATGCTCCTTCAAACCCTGCAGCTCTTGTGACATTCTTTTTGAGGCTTGGTTGGCTCCTGTGTTCTTGTTCATCACACAGGGCTGTCCCCTGGGTGGTGGCAGAGTGAGTCGCCTGCTCCTCAATCCGCCTTTGCTCTTTGAGAGCACCCTGTGGGTGTCTTGGGTCTCAACCCATCACCATTCCACTGGGAGGAACCACATGACTCTCCCACTCTCCGACTGAGTCACAGACTAAATCTCCATGTACTAATCATACATATTTTCATATTATGTTAATACTTTTTGCTCCAGTCTGACCCAGGACCAGGGTGTCTGCTGAATAAATATAAGTATCTACAACAGCAGCATCCCTGTCTGAGCAAGTCATCCAGCTCCCGTTGTTTCCCATGGGGACCTGTATAATCAGTGTAGCTCAGGGTGGGAATTGCCTGACCCAGTGTGCGCATCTCCCTTGTGAAGAGGCAAATTGTGTCCTTACCACAATATTTTGCACTGATTAAGTCTCCAGCGACTATAAAGGAAACCTGTGGAGATGCTCCCATGGGTGGTACCTGTTTTTTTTTTAAGTCAGATGAAAGCCCATACATGATATCTGTCACATTGCTTTCTAATAAAACAATAACACGTAAGCATCTCCTAAAGCAAATACACATCCCAATCAAATATCTGAGTGACTTTGGACAGAGCCCCAGAGTAGTATCTCCACCACCAGTAAGTCCAACGGGGTCTTGTACTTGAGTGTGCAATGCGGAAGCTCATCCAGAGGCTTTCTGCTTGTTTTCCTTCCGTCCCCATCACTGGGCACCAACTCTTTTACAGGACAGTTCAGTGAGGTATCTGCCAAACCATTCCACAGCTGGTGGCTTTTGTCCCCAGCACTGCCGCCATACAGACCTTTGGGCTTCCTGGGGCTGAAGTCTGCTATAAAAATGGTGCTTTTTGTCATCCTCTCTGCCATCTCCACGGGTTCTTCTGCTGGTATCTCTCAGGGAGGGTCACTTCAAGAGCAGTAGGTATTCAAAATGTGTTTGACAAGAACTTTAAAATTTTAGGGAGTCAAAGGTGAAGCTGGGTCCAAGGGAGTGATGGGCCTTTTCGGAACAAGAGGACCAGTGGGACAGAAGGTGAGTACAGTGAGCACCTATGTTAAGGCTTCTCCTGCAAGAACTGATGTGTAAAATCCCGTCATGATTTTCTCACAGAATATAATTCTGCATTCCCTCTCCAAAATTGCTGACTGAAATGTTATGGGGCTACCAGAGAGCAGAAATAGCTGCGCTTTTCCAGGAGAGCCCTATTTCTCCTATTTTGTAAAGCAGCAGAGTGCTCTGGCATCTTTCCTGGGCTAAAATGGTCAATAATGACTCACTGAAATGTCAATATTCAGGCATGAAGTGTGAACTGCTGTCTAAGCTCCAGTTATAGTCAGTGGAGATGTAGGGCTCCATTCATCTGACCAGCTGAGATGTTTGGGGTATCCTACCTACCCCCTCCATCTGCCTCTGCAGAGGGGTCCACAGAGGTCTCCTTGTCTCCTCTTCCACAGCTGTAGGTATCTCCTACACCAACCCCCATTTCCAGAGGAAATGGAGCTCTTCGCCATGGTAACTCATCACCGTTTTCCTTGCAGGGGGAACCAGGAGAACCAGGCTTGCCGGGCTCTGCTGTGAGTTGTAGCATGTTTCTCTGCCTTTGCAAGTCTTGGGTGTGGAGCTGGGCTTGCGCTGCTGATCCTCTCCCCACAGCCACGTGTATGGGTTGCGGGGTGGGATGTGACGAGGCTGACTCAGTGCTGCTCCACAAAGCCCGCGTTCAAAGCGTCTTTGCTGGAAAGTCAGCTGTGGGCAGGGGGGACCACAGCCAGAGGTACGTTTTAAAAGGATGTTGCGTTTTGCATCAAGGGACATGTGAAATATGCATTTATTTATTATTTTTTAATGTCTTTAGCATATTAGGGGGCATCACCAGACATGACCAGATGATGTTTCATGATCAAATGGCTTAAGAATTGTGACTATATGTTGAATATCCCATGAGAAATGTGTATATCCTTCAGAGATTTGACTACAAGTGGGTATTCTCAGCGCTCAGTGCGTGCGTGTTGCTGGCCAGAAAGAAAACCGTTATGCTGGAGGATGTGGATAATCCTTTAGTTCACCTTGTTTCCTGACAAACTGCAGTTGGGAAAAAAACTCGAAAAGCAAGTTTGGTTTGCAAAAGTGTTTACATACCTTTGAACATCACTGTTTCACCTGGAAGAAACCCCAAGTGAAAAAATGGTCTCCAAGGTTGTCCAAAGTGAAAAAAAAAGTCCCTGCTGGCTTCTTTTCAACTGGGAAAGGAAGGAACAGGGAGGGGAGAGAACACGAAGGGTCTTTTTATCAGGTCACAGAAATACAAGCGTGTTCAATTGTTTTATTGCAATATGAAATATCAGTATTTTCTTAACCTATTCCCCAATTATGCCTTTTTGTGTGGGGGAGGGCGATTCTCAGCAACTATCTGTTGCTGTGAAGGCTCCACAGCTGCTCAGCGCTGCCCGTTGATTACCGGTCACAGCTGTGTAACTATTTACAAGCCCGTAATCCAGACTGGTAATTGCTCACTGAGAAAAAGGCCCTCATTCAATTAAGTACTTCAACCCCTGCCTAATTGCAAACAACCTTCTGAGCACTTTGCCAAAGCGATGAGGCTGTGACGTGCTGTAGGACCGCCACATTTGGGATCAGCGCATGTAGGCATTGGATGGAGTGCATTTTTGAAATTGCTTTGTTGTGAACACCTGAATCCTCAGGTGACAACCATCAGTAGCACAGGAGTAGAGCGAAAATGTTTGTTGAGGCGGCTGCCTGCAAAGGAAGCACAGCTGGACACCACCATCCTGACCAGCAATGAAGTCTCGGTTGGATGATGTGTTGTTTTCTACTAGCACCCACAGGGACCGTCACATAACAGACTTAACTACCAGAAAGTGGTATCTTGTCCATCAATGTTCAAGAGAAACTGAGTAATCTTTCTTTTGGAAATATTTAAGGATACTGCTGGTGCAGGTTAATGCTATCTGTGCTGTGCTTGGGGCTAGACTGAGATAATAGAGCTTGGGTTTGGTCCTTCATTGAATTTCTAAAATTGCAAAAGTCAGATCAGAGCTGGGGCCTTGTTGGAAGAGTCATGATATATGACATCCTGGATGAAATTCATCTGACCCCAGGTTAGATGTCTGCCATGTTCACTTTCCACATCTAAGTGAGCCATGCTCAGACTTGTTTTATTGGCAGCTTTAGGGTACCCTTGGAACATGATTCACATCATCCATTTCAGAAACCTGTGTTAGGACAGAACATCCCAATGTGACTTGTTCTCCGCAAGACCAGGTCTCACTTTATCTTCTAAGCGCTCACAGATACTTTTGATTATTTTTTCCCCAAGTTATCTTGGAGAGTTAGGCTAGGCTGTCTCGTGTATCATTCCCCAAGTCCTCTTCTCCCCTTTTGTTGAAAACAAAGTACTTGGCCCAGTCTACCTGTACCAAATCTGTCCTACGCAAAGTCTCGAAGGTAATGGCTAGCAGTTCTCATTTTCCTTCAGCTCCCTCTAATTCCATCTTTCATATCCACAAATTGCCACTAACTTATTGCAAAAATTTGCCAGTCAGTTTCTGTCCTGCTGAATTCACTCTGAGTAATTTAACTGGCTTGTAAAAAATCTTATCCATTTACTCTTTTGATTTGGTGATCTGTAGGAGTTCCCAACCAAGTGACAGCATTTGTATCGTCTTCCTGTAATCATTGCCTGGACAATTTCAATGGATCTAACTTTACAATTGGACCTCAAGGCAAATGAGTGTGTTCTTGGTATTCAAGACATCTTTTCCTCCTTTTTCGTCTTTTCTAAAACACTATGCTCTTTTATATTGATATTCCTGCCATGCTTCACCCTTTCATATTAATATTGCAGCCTGTTATGCCTATTAAGTTGCAATCTTGATCGTGTATTAAGGCTTCCAGCTCCTCTTCTTTATTTCCCATGCTTTGTACTTTAATATACTGGCAGGTTAACCCATTATTCTCCCTAAAGCTCTGTTCTGAATACTCCTCTCTTGCTGTTATGCCTTATTTTGGATTTCCAGGGTCTACAATTACCAGTGTGCCGTGGCCCTCTCCATTCTGGTTTGCAGTCCTCCTCACAAGGTGTACAAGTTGGAGCTCAGAGATGTTCTTCACCTCCTCTTGTGAACTGGGCTCTATAGTTGACCAGCAGCTCATGGGTCCTTGCCCTATAACTGAGGAAGACAGGGTCTGTGTGGTAACACCATCACCTGCACAGTCATGTGCTTATTCTCTGGGTGTTCTGCGTAAACTTCTCTGGAAAGTGGAAGACCCACCCTGGACATTCTGCTTTTGCTCTCAGAACCATTTCTGATGTGCTTCATTCTTCAGCGCTTGCCAGAGCACATCTGCCAAAGCCCGCATTGGAGCAGAGCCACCAGCATATGCATGAGAGGAAGGGTGGGAGAAATCCAGGATTTTTTGGTCCATTTTTTTTTTGGTCTCCATTGAGAGCAATGGAGTTTACAAGGTGTGAAATCAAAGCTGTACACCTGAAGACAAAGCAAGAAGTGAGAGCAAGACAGGGGATTCTGGGTAACACTGGGACAATCAGATGCTAAATATGACCAGTCCAGGAAGGCTAACAGAAGGCTAAAGGACTCTCTTTTGGCACCATTACAGAGCACAGTGCTATAGTCAAAACCAGACAGTTCTCTGCAGGATCTGAAAACTAAGTGATAACCAAGGCCCAATAACCCAGAGTACGGTAGATGTAAGAATGGTTATAAGCAGGAATTTAGCTTTACCATAGATATCAAGAACACAAGAGGTCTTGATATAGATAAGGGTGCAGGGCAGACGACTCTTAAGAGCTATTCAGGTTCTCAACAGGAGAGCTCTACCTCCCTTCATTGGCTGCATGGAGATTTCAGTGTACCCATATGGCACCTCAGTTCTCCTGCCTGCTGAGCAGTGGGCCCACTTCAAGCCAAAGAAGAGGAAAAGTGGGGTGTAGGGGTCTGTCCTGGGCTTGACAAGAGGTGTCCCTGGACACTAAGAGTGGAAAAAGCCACCTCCTAAGAAGTTCTTGCCCTGAAAGCTCTTGCCCTTGTGCTTTAGGCAATCCTGCTTTAGCAGGGGAGTAGGACTAGGTGATCTCTAGAGGTCCCTTCCAACTGAAAGTTCCTTGATTCCATGATTCCATGAGAGTGTGACCTGATGAGTTGCTGAGCACTTAGATGAGTCTCAGGGCACTGAGAGAAGTGCCCTGAGCACTTCTGATGAGTCCAGGCCTGTCAAAGGGAAGTTAGTCAGCCAGATCTTCTGGCCATAAGTGGAGATCTTCTGGCCACAGTTGGAAATCTCTGCCCAGATACCTTGGAGGCTTTGGAACAGGCTGACCCACGTCTGAGATGTAATGCCTGAGAATAAATGGTCATTACATCTGTGAGGACCAGTGGCAGCTCCCGTTGGCCCAGAAATCCAAGAAAGGATTTTTTGGGGAAGATGCTCAGGACTGCAGCAAATAATTGTGGGCAGGAGAGTCTAGACACAAGGAACGGCAGGGAAGGGATAAAAACAGAGATGAAACTCTCAGGTTGAGACTCCCAGCTGCTTAATATGCATCATCCCATCAAATATTGAGCACTGAAGCCCAGGAGGTGGGGAACCTTTTAGCAAAGGTTGCAGCATACACCATGATTTGGAAATGCATGAGCACTTTGATGTGTGTCTTCAAATAGGTTCATCCTTGTGGGGTGCCCCGTTGGGGCAACGTTTCCGCTGATAGGTTCCACACTTTCCCAGGGTGACCCAGCCACTTCCCCAGCTCGTTCATCTGAGTGTGAACCATAAGCCTGGAGACAAGGCAGGCTCCTCCCTGGCTCCAAGCCCGAAGCTTCGGGGGAATTTGTGCCCGGAAGCAGAGGGCTTTGGCTGCTAAAAGACGTCTTTGCGTCACAGCCAGCGCTCAGGACTTATGAGTAAGCCTCTGCGTTTCTGTGCCTTCGTGGTACCTGGTGTCTTTGCAGTTAAATGAAGCCTGTTCCAGCAATGCTGTAATAACAGAACCAAATAGCAGGACCCATTTCCAGTACTCCACCAGTAATTGCCTTTAAACTGTCATTTTACTAGCTTTTATTGCCCAGCCTTTATTTGCCTGGCAGAATGCAGAATGTAAATCTGAGGGAAGAAATTTCCATTCAGCTTCTTTCCCTTGCCTAGGGTTCAGATGTTTTCCTCTTCCTCTCTTTTTTTTTCCCCTCCTATTCCATCTTTTTCTTGTCCTGGGTGCAGGTGGCCTTGAAAAGCATCACCTCTCTGACCTGCTTCTCCCCCTCAGCTGAAGCAGGGACAGACCTGCTGTCATGTCCAAACCTTATTATAAACCTTCTAGTCCATATGACAAAGTCTTTTCAGTCCACGATGAGTAGGAGTCCACCTATGGTGAGATAAGACCCAGGTCAAAAACTTGTTTATCTTTACCCGACCGAGTAGGCATGGCTTAGACCCAGCTACCTTTCAGCCCACCAGCACAAATTGTGAGCTTAACTCTTCCTAAAGCCATTTGGGCTCCTTCCAGGTCAAGAGCAGGCAAGAAGCAACTCATGATCTAAGGCAGACAGAAGAGATGAGAGTTGGACATGGGCAGGTGGGGAAGCACAGGGAAAAAAAAGGAAAGGTCTCTCCTTGACACAGGAGACACTAGGGACTACTAAGAGAAATATTACAGCTAATTGGGAAATCTCTAACTAGTGTCAGGTTCCTTCAGGATCAGGCAGTGCTCCAGGATAATTTTTAGCCCATCCCTTTGGATCCAGGTGTGTAAATCCCTGGCCAGATGGATCTGTACCCAGTTCAAAGCCAGCTCAAAAACGCCAGGCACTTGAAGGTATCCCGGGCTTGTGAGATGTAACCATCAAACCAAAAGGTTTATTACCCACCAAGCAAGCAATCTGTCCTAGCAAACAGAGAAACTCTAGTTAGCCAGGGGTTTTATGGTCCATTTACTTCCTCAGATGGAACTTTATATTGATCGTGTCAATAAATAGCTACTAGTAAATAAAGGGCTTGCATGAGATGTTTGTTCCTGATAGTGTAGGCAGAGCTTGAGGAACGTGGACTTTACCCGATCCAGACATGACTGGCAAGAGCCGTGGAGGAGCACCTGGCTGGCTCCCAAATACTCCCCTTACTCTGAAATGCAAAATGTGCCGACACCTGGGGAGGGGGTTGAAGAAGCATGATGGTCCCCAGAGGAGAAGCTGAATTTTTATATCTGGGGATGAAATGGTAATGGGTCTGTCCCCGCAGTCTGACCCATTATCAGGGACATCACCATCCCACCCGTGTGTCTCTGGGATGTTTGCTTGTCACTGCGATCATGTTTGAAGTATCTGTTCATCACTGAGAGGAGGAGTAATTGGAGAGGTGATGAGTCTGCTTGGCATACAAATCTGGTGGCTGATTTTTTTGTATTTCTTTTTAATAAATGTGTCTCCTCTCAACAACCTACTGCAAATTAATTCCAAGGAGAGAATGCCACTTGTTCATCTCCTGATCTGCTTAAACAGCCAATTCATTCTCCTCTGAGTGAGCTGAGCCCTGTGCAATCGGTGTCTCAAGTGGGGATAAATCCAATTTCATCTCACATCCAGGTTCTGAAAACTGCCATCTAAATTGGCCAGAATGGATGAGTAGACTGTGGCAGCCTTGTAAAAAAAAAAAAAAAAAAAGGGCATTTAAAGCAGTTTTTAGTTTGCTACCGAACCAGTGGGAGACACCACGCAAAGAGGCCCCAATGCTGGAGGTGGCTCCCATGTCCCACACTGAACTGAGCTGCCAAGTAGTTCCACAAGCCGAGAACCTCCGAAGTGTGGCAAAAAGGTGTCTTCTTGGAGAAGCACCTCTGTCCAGCATTGCCCACAAGTCTGGGCTGGATGAGGATCTCTATTTTGGCTCTCAACTCCTCTGAACTGCAGCTGTGGGCAATCCCATGCCAGGATCCACTCATTTACCAAATAAAATTTCACCACCCAGCGCTTTCCTTTGACTGGGTCTGAAACTGCAGACCCAGTGCCCAGGGTTGTGTGCATCCTTCTAAGTGACGTGCAGTGCAATGCTGCCTGCCCTTTGCTCCTATTTTCAACCACAGCCATCACCACCTAAATTTTCTTGGCCCAGGACTACCCTTTAGCTGCTGCGTGCCTCTATTTCTCAAGCTGTAATTATAAATAAATCAACTCACAGGTTGCATATGCCGATGGCTTACAAGCCCATGAGGAACGGGTGCTACATCCCAGCCTCAGGTCTTGGTGCTAGTACTAGGGTAGCTTTTGACCTCTGACTGCGGGAACACACAACCCAGGCTTTTACTGTTGAGTTTCCACCCTGATGACTGTCCTCAGCCACCTTAAAATTACATTTTCTTCTCTTTCTGGCAGGGTACAGCAGGTCTTAATGGGAAGAACGGAAACAAGGGAGCCAAAGGCGACAGAGGTCTTCAGGGGCAGAAGGGGAAGCCGGTGAGTAGCTGGAAAGGACGTGGTTTGTTTCACAGGTAGAAAGAGGCTCTGTGCCATTCTTGACCCTGAGTTAATTTCTCCTCCCCTACCCTACAGGCCTCGTTACTGGAGTCAGGTTCTTGCTCAGGGTAAGTCTTTCTAAAAGGGAGATGAAATTGCTCTCTAAACCTCCTGGAGAAGTCTCTAATGCACATCCTGGCCTGATTTTTAGGAGGAGCCATTCTCTGGATGCCAGCAGAGAACCTGTCCATGTCTCTAGTGGTAGACTTCTAAATTTTCACACGTTTTCCAGCATGACTTTTCCTTTGTTACTTACCAAGGCCCAAATTTCAAGTTCCTTCATGTACCAAGTCCATTCCTCCTTGATGCGGACCTGCCTGATGGAGATGGCAGGGAACACAGCAATCACTTGCCAAAGCCCTTATGGACCTCATTTTCCTGGGACAAGCTAGTTCTCTGCCAACATAGGATGCCTTCCTTGCCCCCGGATAAGTTCCTGCACGTGGATGAGACTTCAACCCCTTATTACTGAAAACACATCTCCAAAGTGATGCTCAGTGGGAACATGTCTTCTCTTTACTTGCTGGAAACAAGCTGAAATCAGCTGGTGGTTCTTCTCTTTTGTTTTCCCATGAGAGAAAAAAACCCCAATAAAATAATAAAAAAAAAAAATCAGTAGAAAAATTTGGGAGGGAGCAGGAAAGGAAGACTCACTGAAATTTATGAACATTCTCTACATCATTCAGGTAGTGCCTGACTTTGAATGACAAACTCAATCTCCAGGGGCAGTGACCAACACAAGACCTGAGGGAGACCATGTAACATCTCCACAGTGCAGGTCCTCCTGATTGTTGCCACTCCATTAGCTCCCAAACCTCAGTAACATTTACTGCAACACACAGGTCCCCAAGGGTCATTTTCCAAACATTGCCCAGGGTAAGCTACAGCCCCTGTGGTGACTTGTCACAGCATTTTGTCCCACTTCACTAGCAGCTGTGTCACAGTCACCCATCTCCTACAAGGTTATTCCCTGTCCCACCCCAGAGATGGCTGTATTTCTAGCAGTAAAGTGACCAGGACAAGAGGTAATGGGCACAAACTTGAATATAGGAAGTTCCATCTTAACATGAGGAGGAACTTCTTTCCTTTGAGGGTGGCAGAGCACTGGCACAGGCTGCCCAGAGAGGTGGGGAAGTCTCCTGCTCTGGAGCCATTCCAAACCTGCCTGGACGCCATCCTGTGCAACTGCTGGAGGTGCCCCTGCTCTGGCAGGGGGTGGGACTGGATGATCTCCAGAGGTCCCTTCCAACCCCAACCATTCTGTGATTCTGTGATGATCTGCAAATTTTCAAGGAGTCCCTGGTGGTTAAAAGCACAATATAAACACAAGGTGATGCTATACTTTACCTTTCAGGCTATGTGTGATATGTTTGTTGCTTGTTCTTTTTTTATGCAGGGAGGGAAAGGTGATCCTGGGACCACAGGTGACATTGGGCAGAAAGGAACAAAGGTAGGAGATGCGTGAGATCTTGTGAAATCTCCATCCTAGTAGATATTCAAAAGCTGTCTAACGTGGTCCTGGTCAAGCTTTAGGTGGCCCTGCTTGAGTTGGACAAAATGACCTCCAGAGCTCCCTTCCAACCTCAATCACTGCATGATTCTGTGAAGGTTGGGGCAAGCAGAGAAGAATGCTCAGGCTCCAGACTGGAGTGAGGCCGGTGGGGAAGGATGCTGTGAGCAAGGGAAGAGCTTGCAGTACCACGTTGGGGTTAGCCCTGTGCACATGCAGAGTTCCTCCCTCCTGTCCTCACCTTGATGTAACATCACCAACTGTGATCGGCTTTATCCTCAGGGCTTACGAGGGCTCCCAGGACGCATTGGCGCTCCCGGAGCTGCAGGCATCAAGGTGAGCTAAGCCTGGCTTTCTGTCCTGCTCTACCTGCCCCATTTCCAGCACTCAAGCCCAAGGTAGCATCATGCATGAAGAAGCAAGGCCAAGTTGGACAGGGCTTTGAGCAACCTGGTCTGGTGGGAGGTGTCCCTGCCCAGGGCAGAGGGGTGGAACGAGATGATCTTTAAGGTCCCTTCCAACCTAAACCATTCTATGATTCTAAGCCACCCTAACTCTGGCAGGAGAAGTCCCTTTTGGTGGCATGGGGCTGCAGCCTGCAGCACAGGAGGACACAGCCACGCAAAGCAGGGATCCATGCAGGGAACATTTTCATAATCTGGGGTAAAAAAAAAAACAAAAACAAAAGAGCCCCTGCCCAAATCTCCTCCAGGTCTGTGGCTTAGCAACTGCCTAGACTCAATTCACAATTACTGCTGGGCACATCGCTCCGATTGTCAGCACCATTGGTCCTTCCTTGATAAACAGGGATAATGACCCTTAATGGTCTTTTTATGAAGGGTTTTGAAAAGCTTGATAAGAATTAAGGGAGCTGTTGATGGCTGAGCCAATGGGATATGTTGTTATTGTTGTTGTTATTAATGTTTTCCTTCATCAGCCTTGGCCTATTGGGTAAATTAAGTACTGTTCAGTGAATTTCCCACCTACTTTCATGTAGATGGGCTTGGAGTCTGGGCAGTCTAAAATTTACATTGGTCTGAAGTAGGACTTTGGCAATACTTAGGCTTTCTGTTACCAGGAGTCTCATGATGTTCCCCCTCAAGTACCACTTACCTTGCCATTTCGGAGCCAGTTTTCCCAATGTTTTAGGGGCTGTGTGCACTTACAGCCCATCCACTGCTTTTCCATCGACAGGGAGAAATTGGCAGTCCTGGAAAACCAGGAATCCCAGGATCAGATGGACCACATGGACCAAAGGTGAATATCTAAATTCTGCATCTGCCTACAAGTAAGAGGTTTCCTAAAAACTTTCCAGATGCTGCAAATCCACCTCTGCAGTGTGATTCTTTCTTTCAAAGGGCACAAATGGGGTTATTCTGAATCTGTTCCTATAAGCCAACACAGACCTGGGTGAAGATGCTTGGACATCTGGGGTGGGGACCTCTTCTTTTACCTTTGCAAGACTCAGCCAGGTTCATCCACCCCAGCCCTGATGCTCCACAGGCGCTATTGCATGTGTCAAGTAATGGGGCTTTTTAATGAAATTTCTTTCAGTCTCCTTGAGTACCACTAATGTGCAAGCAGAGAGACCCTGCTGGGTCCCACTCAATAAATAATATTGTAATCTGAAGAAGAGCCTGTTCTTTCCACAAATTGCCACCTTGCCAAGTCCCCACTGGCCATGATTTTATCTTGACTCTTTCCAGGGTGAACAGGGAGCATCAGGGGACGATGGTGCTTCAGGGGTTCCTGGGGAGAAAGGAGAAAAGGTTAGTACTCGCCAGACTGCATCGAGCTGCCATTTATAAAGGAATAAATCCCACGTCCATCAGGTCAAGTTAACAAAATTATACACTTTCTACATCATAGGTACCCTTTCCAGTGGGCAAATGTCAACTGTCTGGATCATTAAGGCTGGGACTGCAGTTGGAAAGGGCAGGAGATGGAGGTCTTCTTAAATTCACCCTCTGCCGATGTGCAAAACCCCAGGAGGGCGCCTGTTTAGAATGAGGAAAAGCCAGTCAAACCCTTGAAGTGGGATTAATTGTCAGAGTTTATTCAACACCGCCATGCCCAGGGTAGAGGGTGCGTTGGGGTGCTGTGGGGCAGAAGAAGTGGATAATGCTGCTGCCTCCTGGGCAGGTTGGTCATGGGAGTGGGAAAGGTCTCCAAACTGGTCTGCTCCTGGACTCTGCTCTTAGCTCCCTGTGAAGACCCCACCTTGATCACTCCCCACTGATTTTGACTCTCCATTTCTTAATTTTCCATTTTCTTCTCTAAAAGAAAAAATCGAAAATTTGTACCATCCCATGGGGGAAAAATTGGGTTTTCAGTTAAAACAGAGACTGTTTTGAAAAAAAAAAAAAAAAAGAAAACCACACAGTAATCCCAACAGCCTCCATCAAGTGTTTTGGCATTTTCCAACCCCTCCCGCCCTTCTCACTTTCAGTTCCACCATCTGGTCTCCAGCTGATTTAGGGTCTTAAAGAATTTGTTGCTTATATTGGTAACAGCTTTTCTGGTCCTCATCCCCTGATGGTCATTTGGGTCAAACACTAAGAGTCCCCTTGTCAAGCAACACCCCTGGCTCACTCTCTGAGCGGTGAATGGTTGGAGGCTGGGATATTATTTCAGGGGAAATATCATCCCTTCCTCTCTTGTTCTTCTCCTCTCCCACAAACATCTGCTTTCGGCCACTGCTGGAGGTTGGGCTGACTGGAGGTCTGTCCTGCTGTGTTTCATGGGAGCCTTTTCAGTTTACAGAATCTCCAGGAGAAAGCTCAATGAGTGCAGATGAGTAGGAAATTCATAGGCCAACTCTTAATAACTCCCATTCTCCTCCTCAGGAGTCATTGTTTTTTCCAGGGTTACAGACTAAAGGACTCCGCTTGCATATGCAGGGAGAGTTGGGCATTAGAAATTATTGGGCATCGTCCCAGAGAGGGGGGTGTGCAAAAGCCAAGCCACAGTTTTAGCTCTGAACTGCCCTCTGTCGGTGATTCTCAGGGGGCCAAAGGAGTTCCTGGCTTGGGAGGCTTCAAAGGACAAATGGGATGGCCTGGGAAGACTGGAGTGGCTGGACCAGACGGACCTCAAGGGCCACAGGGTGAACCAGGGCCACAGGTGAGCAGCAAGTGGTCCGTAGCATGCCCTAAACCCTGCTGAGATCTGCACCTCACATCCACATGTGACAGATGTGTTCCCATATGTCACCGTGTACCTCTCCCCACCTCTTACAAGCTGCCACCCGAGGTCTCCCATCTTGAGATGGCTGCAAAGTCTGCTGTCTTTCTGCGAGATCTTCGTCAACTTACTTCATCTCTTAGTGCATTTATCAATGGAGGCTTTTTTCTTCCCTTTCCTCTCTTCTTTTCCTATCTGCAGTGTAGCGACGTGACCTCTGAGTGAAGAAAGGAAGGATGATAATTTCAATTTATCAGGGCATCAAGTGCACCCCTCCTGTCACTAATTATCCGGGGAGCAGCATACCAAGGTTTCGGAAGGAGCTGGTGGCTTTCAGACCCCATTTGTGGACCATAGTTAATAAGTGTCTTTGCATGCAAGACATGCTGGGCACCTTTTGAAATCTAACAAAAAGACTTGGAAATGAGACATGCTAATACTGTTTATGAGCAGGAACATGCTGCCCCCAGATTCTATGGTAATGAAGAGTGTCTTGCCGCTGCCAACACAATGCGGAGGGACGATACTAGAGATTAATGCTAATCACCCACCCTTAGACAGCATCCATTAAGTAACGAAGAACTTTTCAAGTGAAGGAGGACTGGAAATGAAAATACCCTTCTCAATTGTGCTGGTGGGACTGGCTGAGCTTCAGGCTTGGACAAGAGAGTATGTAAAATAACATAAAAGAACAGAGAACAAAAGAAAAGCTAAAGTTAGGTGACTACCTGAAAGACCAACTGTTTCCCATAAGCTTCTCTCGGGGATAGCCCTGTTTTAACTCCTGCCAGCCTGTGAGTCTGGCAAACATCTGGTGTGCCATATTTCACCCTTGAGTGATGAATCCTTATACAACTACGTGTAAGGATTTAATCTGCGTGTGTGTATGTGTGTCTGTGCGTGCAGAGACTGCGTGTACACACATCCACACATACGGTTTGTGGAGTTTTCTGCTAAACAGGAATTAAATTGTGCTGCTGCGTTGAAAACAAGGAAGGGAGGTAGAGACTCAGGCAGGATTCTCGTCTGTAATCTGGTATGCCCTGCCGAATTATTTCAGCCAAATAATCCAAACTCCAATCACCAATGATTATCCTTCACTGAGAGAGAATCACATTCAATAGCACGGAGAATTTAGTCGATGTGTAACTGCATCTGACAGTTCAGGACTGTGCTGGTAAAGATACACTGGTGAAAATTGCTTTGGTTTCTGAGGATAGAAGTCGGGACAATTCAGACCTAATTTTGTGTGAAAGTCTCAATGAGTCGGGACCTCATTACATCAGCTCTTTGTTCTTGCTCAGTGAATGATTCCATTTTCTGAAGTACATCATTCTCGCGGGGGTCTCAAAGATCTTCCTGTTCTACAGCCCCTTGCAGGACTTCTGACTTGGGTGGTATAAAGGTGTCTGTGTAGGTTTTAGTGATGCCTAACCCGGTTTCCCCCCATACGGAGGAAGAGCATCACATGTCGGGAAAGTCTGCTTTTTGGAGACGTAAAACAAAAAATATGCAACACTGAGTGTTAAGTCTTAGAGAAGATGTGATTAAGGGTGGGGGAAATGCGGGTGATGCAGCAAGGTTCACATTGCACTGATGGTCAGATGGAACATCTGTGTTGTGTTCCGAGATGTCATCAAATAAAAGCTTGACCTAGAGCAATCCTGTCCATGGTGCAAGGGCACAGAGGGTGCTCTGAGCGTCCTGCGTTGTTCAGGAACCTACAGCTACAGCTAAATCCCACCCAGTGCTTCACCAATGACAGGGTGACTATAGGAAGGACTGCCCCTGAGCCTTTCCTTAAAGGGGTGCAGGTGTAGAAAGACCCTTCCAGAACAATAAAAAATGGACTAGACCCAGCTTCAGACCACAGCAGCAACATTATCCTCCTTTCCCTTGCTCCCCAGGCTGTACCTTGCAATGAAAAATATATCAAAAGAATCACAGAAGGGGGGAAGGAGCTGAAAGTACGAGGTCCCCTCATGTATGTTTAAAAAGGCTGAAAGTTTTTATATTAGCAGTTACAAGCACTGCATGCTTAGAAAGCCGCGTATGAGATAATGAATGGCTTGCATTTGGACGCTGATTAAAGAGAGGCTGTGAGATGCCACTTTCTACACCCACACTGCTACTTGTCTTTTCCCTAAATTAAAGGAGAAAGTCCCCGGGTCTGAACCACAGCAGCAAGGCCACCCTCATGTCTAGTGTGGGAGGGTATTATCTCCATCTGCAAGCCCTTCTCCTCCTGCTGAGACCATTTCTTAAATTAGTGCCGGGACAGACAGAGTGTCACGGAGAGAAAACTGCCTTCTACCCCGCAGCATCCATCCTTTCTGCAGCAGAGGACCATAGGAAACTCCTCGTGGTTGCCCAGGGCAGAGGTGGCAAAGCTCAGGGCTCTGACCCGTCACATCTGATCTGTCTGGGGAGCATCCAAAATCCAGAGAGCTCTGAGTATCTTCTCCTACTGATGCCCGGGTTGGGCTGTAGGGGGAAAACCCCAACTGATGGTGTGGGACGTTTCTGGAGGGTACTGCTAACTGAGCTCTACTCTTCCTCTCTAGGGTCCACGAGGGAAAAGAGGGAGACCTCAGCTCTGCCTCAGGGGACCCCCAGGCATGGATGGCAGAAAAGGAGAAATGGTCAGTATGGGGGCGAGCCAACCTCGACTTCCAGTGAGGTTCCGCACCACCCTGCAGCAGTGCAGAGCTCTGCATTGGGGCCAGGTGAACCCTGGCTGTTCTGGGTTGCATTTCTTGGAGAGCCAAGAAATGCAATAGCAAAAGCACAGAGACAATTTTACCCCCATGCAGCAGACATTGGGCACGGGCAATGCTGCCTACACTTCTGCCTGAGGGTCTCTCCAACTTAGACACCTGCTGAGAGCCCTGTGGGCTGACCGTTGTTTTATATAAGACTTCTTTGAGAAAACATCATATTTTGGGCCAGCACATCCTCAACTGTGTTTGGCGTGGCAGACCAGGAGTGAAAGAGTACTCAGTGCAGTCCTTCAGTACAGAGGGGTAATGTTCAGCCTTTTAATGCACGTCAGAACATATAAATAAGAGCTCAATCTCAAGATCTCAACCTGCCACCCATGTTCTGGGTTGGTCCCTACACACTGCAGGTCCTGTCAACACTGGGTCAATGGGCTTTTTGCATCAGGAGTTGGCATTGCATTAGCTCCACGTGTCGGTGGAAGGTAATGCAATTTCTCCGTCGTGCTCCAGCCCCTGTAAGTGATCATGGATTTAGAAAAATTACCATCGCAGTTTTAATTTAGATTGTTCTTCCTGTGGTCCTTTTCCTTTAATATTTTTAAGTACTTTGAATCAACAAATACAATTTTCACCAGTTCTGATCAGAAAATTTTTCAAGGTATTTTCTCCTAGGAGGCAGAAAGCCCTGCTGGCAAACCTCAGCATCTCCCTCTGTTTCGTCTTTTCAGCGCTGGGATTGCGATCCCGGTTGCAATCTTCTGCTTCGTCTGGTTCCCAGAGGTTCTCTGGAGGCCACATACCGTTCACACCTCCACCTCAGCTTTGCGGTCCCTTACAAATTGCAAAGAAACCTGACTTAAACTGTAGCTTATTGTTTGGATAGGGCAGCTGGGAGCTTGCACCCAACTCTCTCATACATTGTTCTTGCTTCCTTGCACGTGGATGAGTGCATTCCTTCCTGCTCAGTGATTGACTCACAGATATCCCTAGAATTTATGGGAAAACGCATAAGCCTTTTTCCCTACCTCCCTTCCTAGTGCATCCTTTCCTCTGTAAGGTGCTACTTATTCTTGGAGCATTTAATGGTCAATCTAGTGAGATTTTGTAATGACTTAAGTGTTTTTAACAGGGTGAAAATGGTCCAGCTGGCCAGAAAGGAGAAAAGGGAGATCCTGGTCTTTCTGTGAGTACTTTAGCCCAAGATCACATCCCATTACACAGGCCTGAATAGAGAAAATAGGGCAAACTACCCCTAAGAGGTGTAGAGGAGGAGGGAAATGCTGAGAAACAGATTCATTCAGAGAATATCCGGGAAATGAGAGTGTTGGCCATTACCTAGAGACGTCAGATGTGCACAGGCTGGGGTGGGAGAAGTGCTGGGCTGTACGATGCCAACCCCAAACAACAACCCAGAGCCCGAGGGATATTTCCCCTCTCCCATCCTCCCCTGATGCTTCAAACTCATGCTTGGCAGATAGGATCAGTGCCAATGCCACGGGGCTGATCAAATACAAAGAAAGAGCAGGAGAGAGCAACAATGCCCCATTTTCCAAGTGATTAGGGAGCCGGTGTTACTGCAAAAGCTGCTGCTCTGGGTTTATAAATCCTGAAAAAGAAGGAGTGGTTGACAAACATGGGTCAGGGCAAAATCCCTGTTGCAGCTCCCCTAACGTTAGGGTCTCCATCCTGTTGCCTGAACAAATGTGCTTTGTGCCACTTGGCTGATAGGACAGGGTACTTTCATCTCTCCAGTGCGTGGAGGCCAGGCAGGATTAGTTTTAGCACAGGTGTTATGGGAAAGGGTGCCCTATGCATGGGCTGCTGAAAAGCCCAGCTCCCAGCGTAGTAAGTGCCCCAAAATTTGTCATCCCCATAAGGGATAAGAGTTAGCGACCACATGAAGTGCAGTAGGATACCTGCTGTTGCACATGGAAGATGCTCAACTGAAACAGTGACGGTTGGCTGGCCCAAAGGTCGGGGATAGACTCAAAATCCATGAGACCAGATATTTCCCTCTGTGAAGAACACCATTAGCTGGTGAAAGGACAGAGGAAGAACAAGATGTGGTAGAGCTACATCTCATCTAAATTTAGTGCTACAGCCCATCTCCATGGGTCAAGCCTGCAGTTTGATTTGAGCAGCCCCTTTGAATGGGTACAGGTGGCTTGATGAAGCTTCTCAGAGGTGAGGGACATCTACAAGACTATGGCTTCAGGGACAGTGCCAAAACGGTGTGGAGCCTCACTGGAAAGCCAACCTGGACTTGAGGCGTGCTGTGGTCCTCACATTGGGCTCAGGATCTCAGCTCCTTCAAGCAAGAGGAGCTGGCTATAGGTTGGCCATGAATTTGCAAAGGGAATCATTTCCCTGATGAGCCACAAATCTTGAACCAAGGTCCCTGTGACACCAAACTTATGTCTCTGATCTCAGCCACACCAAGCTGAGATGGTTTCACCTGTGGTCCCAGAAGCCACCTCCAATGGAGCGAGTTGGGACAGGGCACAGAGCAGAGGAAGATGGTGCTGGGGTAGAAAATCACCGCTAACCTCTGGTTTTCCCTCACGGCACAGGAGGAAGAGGTGAAGGAGGTGGTGAGGAGTGAAATGAGAAGTAGATGCGGTAAGTCGGCCGGCGAGCCGAGCTCAGGGCCACTGCTCTGACACCTGCCAGTGACTAAATTGGAGCAATTTGAGTGCCAGCACATGCTGGCTGGGCAGAGCAAATATCACCCCATTAGCAGCAAGCGGAGATGCGTCGCCTCTCCATCCTTGGAGACGAGTGCAGGCTTCTGGGCCACGGGGTCTCTGCCATAGTCCTGACCTCCTATTCAAACTCTTAATTTTTTCCCTTTAAACCCTCTCTCTTCCCATTTCTTCCCCCGGGGTTTTGTCAGCAAAGCTTTCCTCCCTGGTCATCTCCATTTCCCTGCTGATTGGTGAAAGGCGCTGGGTCACGGGGGAAAGTTTGGAGCTGCATTTTGCCTAATAACAACCTTCTAATTCCTGTCTACTTCATGGCACTTCTTGACACACAGACCTCTCCTCTCCGGTGGTGAATAACTGCCAACCAGCGCCACACCAGTAACAAAAAATACTGCATTTGGGGATGGTTTTACCCCAGAATCCCAACATCACAAGGGTGTCAGGCTTTGGGGTCTTGCTTTCCTTAGGCCCTGCAGAGGTCCAGGTACTTGAGGGCCAGCAGAGAGCTGCCCCACTCCTGCCCTACTTCCTGGGGTCTGCCTGGGGCCAAGGAGGGTTTGGGTTCACCACCACTTGCCAAGATGCTTCAGCCATTAAGCTGGAGTCGCACTTGTTTCTGCCAAGAGATGTTAGGGGGCATTTGAATGCTTTGAAGGGAGGTGAGGAGGTATGAAAAATAGTCCATGAAAGTATTTGCTGCCTGTAAAAACAGTGATTTCATTGAAAAATCTTATATACATAAGGGAAAAAGAAGTAGCAAACAAACTATGCCCTGTCTGTCTTACGTTTGCAGATTGTGGAGGTGAGTTGGGAAGGATGCCCGTGGAAAGGGGTAAGGCTGCTCTTGTCTACATGGAAATGCATGTGAATTCATGCAGCAGAGTAAAGGATGTTCTCCTTGCCCCAGAACAGCTTGAAACTGCAAGTGGAAAGACGTTGTTAAGAATAAGGTTTTTTTTCCTGTGATTTGGTGCAGAAAATGACCCTGGGTCACCATCTGCTTTTAGCCCCTGGGTCTGGGTGCGGGTATTTCTTACAGGAATCTGAGAAAATGGGGTTGAGGGGAACACCAAAAGGTCTCCTGCTTCCACCCTCTACTGGAAGACAGGAACAAAGCTATTCCTGACACCCAGCTTTAAAAGCTGCACCCACAGGAACACTTCTCCCTGCCCATGAAACAGCTGCTGTTGCTCCACCATCCCAAACCATCAACACGATAAACTCCAGTGAGGTGCCTACAGTGCAGGTGCCTGTTCATAGAATCACAGAATCACAGAATGGTTTAGGTTGAAAGGGACCTTAAAGATCATCTAATTCTAACCTCCCCTGCCATGGGCAGGGACACAAACTTAAATTAATCATTTAAGCTCCCATTGTGGAGATCTAATCCATATGGTCCACCCAGTCTGGAGGGCCAATCTGCCAAACCCAAGGTAGACCCCCACATTCAGTCAGGGACTCATCTTCTGTGCTTCAGAGAGGACTTGGTTCCTCCATGGTTTTGCCTACATGTGGGCAAGAGATTTAGGGTCTAGATTTTCTGCTGGAGATGCTGAACCAGGTTCTGTATCTCAGCTGGCCATAGTAGGTTTGGAAGACACCCAGCTCACATGAAGGCATCTAGAGGAAAGTTCCAACTCTGGATCTGATCCCCATCCCTGTGTGTTGATCTAGTTACCAACATATAAACCAGATTACGTATCCTGCTGGATCTTGTCTATGGGCAGAGGAGTCTGCTAGGTTCACATCTTATCTGTCAACCCAGCTTTCATGATTTGGTTGTCCTGGGACATCTCATCTAATTTGAATATTTTCTACCACACTTCAAGTCCATCATTATACCTGGAAAGGGTCCCTCACCACAGCTTGTTTTTAATCGATTAAACAGGAATAGACAAAGGAGGAACTTCAGAGCAGCAATTTGCCTCTGAATTGCAGTGAACTCATGTTGTCCAGGAATGGATTTGCTTCAATTTTTCCTTCATAACTGCTACATTATTTTTTTTTTTTTTAGCCTTCATAACACAATGTTTCATAGTGTACAAAAGCAGGGTGTTTTACAAAGCAAGGACTTTCTAAACAGAGAGGTGGGCCAAGAAGCAGCGTCCTTGCCCTGGACGTGAGAAGCCAGTACAGTCGTAGGTGCCTGGAGTAGCTGGGAACTCTGTTGGTGTGGGATATTCGCAATTACCCTAGACATGAGATCATCCTTTCCAGGCGCTGTTTCCCTTCCTGCTCTGTGTTTAGACAGCAAATC